TTTGTTAGGTTTACACCTAGGTATTTGATTTTTTTTGAGGCTATTGTAAGTGGAATTGTTTTCATACATTCTTTTTCAGTTTGCTCATTGTTAGTGAATAAAAGAGATTTCTAAATGAAAAGGTATCAGCAAAGATAAAGAAGGCCATCTCAGAGCGATGAAAGGGCTAATCCACCAAGATAACATGAAAACCACAAATCTGTGTCCAATAACATCTTTGAAGTGCATGGTACAAAACTGACAGAATTAGAGGAAAGAAAAAGGCAATTTTATTTGGAGATTTTAATCTCTCAGAAGTTGATAGAATAACCAAAGAATCTGAAAAGATAAAGTCAGAATGACACTAAAAACCACCTTGGCCTTGTCCATATTTATAGAACACTTCACCCAATAACATCTAAATCCACTGTCTTTTCAGTGAGTATGGTATGTTTGTCAGGATAGAACATTTTCTGGATTTAAAAAAGTTTCAATAAATTTTATTTATTTTTTTCTTTCCCCTTTTATCATTTTTCCAATAAATTTTAAAAGATTGAAGTGAGTTCAATAAATTTTAAAAGGTTGAAAGTTTGTTCTCTGACCACAATGAAGTTAAACTGGAAACTAAGATATAAGCTAGAGTTTTTTGGGAGTTTTTGCAGTACTGGGGTTTGAACTCAGCCTCATGCTTGCTAGGCAGGCGCTCTACCACTTAAACCACTTAAACAAGCCTGAAACTAAGAAATAAGATAATTAGGAAAAACTCAAATATTTGGAAACTAAACAACACATTTTAGAATAGTGATTAGTAGTAAAACAGTGATTAAGTGAAGTAGAAATCACATAGACATTGAGAATATTTTTTTCTCTGAGTGATAATAAAAATACAACATATCAAAAATTGTGGAATGCTCCTAACATAGCTTTAGAGGAAAATTTTAGCATTTAGTGCCTGCCTATGTGACAGAAAGATATCTCAAGTCAATATTTGAATTTTCTCCTTTAAAAATCTAGAAAAAGAACAGAAGAAAATAATAAAGACAAAAAGCAGAAATCAATGAGATAGAGAACAGAAAGGGGAAAAAAGGAAAAAATCAATAAAAACAAAATCTAGGCCTTTAATAAAACTGATAAATCTTTGCCTGACTGGCAAAGAAAGAGCAAAAATGGAAGTTATGAATACCAAGAATGAAGGAGGGGATGCCAGCACTGGTCCTTAAGATGCTGAAGAGTAAGAGCCCATTATTCTTACGATCAATGCTATGCCATCCTGTCTGATCTTATCAATAAAACAGACATTGCAGGAAAGATGTCAATTATAGCTCACTCAAGAAGAAATAGAAATGAAAGCTTGACCAGTTCTATACAATTGAAAGAATCTGAATGTGTAATTAAAAATCTGTCTAAAAACCTTCAGACTCAGGTGGCTTCATTGGTGAATTATGTCAACATTTATGGAAGAGATAATACCAATCCTTTTAAAATTGCTTCAGCAAATAATGGAGAGGGAACACTCTCCACCTCATTTTATGATAGTAGTGTTCTGAAACCACACAATGACCAGAAAGAAACCAGATACAGAGATTCCAAAACAGAGAGTTTTTTTAAGAAAAAAACTACAGACCATCACGTCTCATAAATAAAAATGCAAAGTCTTCAAAAAAATATTAGCAAACTGAATCTACTAGCATATAAAAAAAGATGATGGTGATACCTCTTGAATGAGTTAGGAGATTCAGTGCAGTTCCATGAAAATCCTGGCAGTTTTTTTTTTTTTAAACTGTGAAGCTTATTTTAAATTTTGCCTGGGATGACAAAGGATCTTAAATAGCCAAACTATTTTGAAAAGGATAATAATATTCGCAATCTTACAGTACCTGATTTCAAAAACAACACGTGGCTCTGAAGGTATGGACCAGTTTTATCCTGTGACTTATAAATTGGCAAGTAAATAACTTCCAAACAGGGAGAAAAAGTGCAGCTCTGACACCATCATGTAACTTCCCAAGGTGGCTACTTTTGAAGAATTATACTCATTTGGCATGATTTCTAAGGAGAAAAAAAAATTCATGTTGGATTCCCACCCCACCTGGACTGCCTCACAGAGGTCTGCCTACTGACCTGTGGCACCCAGGTCTCTGAAAGAACATGAACTTGGCTGAAGGAAAAGAAAGGAAGAGAATATGCACTTCTTGGAAAGTATGACTCATCGATGGTGTATTACCAGGGAGTGATCCAGCAGAGTCAGAGGCATTACCAGTCAGTCAGAGACCCAGCTATCAAAGGCAAATGGCACCAGGTCTGGCAGGAATTGTTGGAAGAATATGAACAAGTAAAAAGTATTGTTAGCACTTCAGAAAGTTTTAAAATCCACAAGCCCCCAGGTTTCCCAGTGTCTTGTCAAGATAGAACAAGACATTTAGTGATCCTGTGGTTTGGCCCCTTCCCGTTCCTGCAGAACACAGAAATGTCAACCAATCTTTTGAGTTGAAGAAAAATGAGTACAGTCAAGTAACTAACTTGAGTGGACATGGTGGAATTCCATCATGAGACTAAAGAATTAGTGATGTTACTAACTCTCTCCCCCTTGGCATGATTGAAAGAGCGTGATACCAACTTTAAGATTTATTGTAGCTTGTTTGAGCCATTGACAAGAATCCACTCAGTTTCTCACTGGTGTGGGTAACACCAGAACGCAAAGAGAGCAGTCCCCACCATTTTCGATGGGGTTTTATAGTACGTGGTATGAAAAACATGCCTGCAGCTCCAAGTCTCATACCAGCTGCAATTTCTGGTTAATTTGGATAACTGTTTCCTGAAATGAAGCATCTCCAGGTTAAAATTAAGAGCAGACTAAGCGAATCAAAAGTAGTACGTAGGACTGATAGTAATAATAATTTTCTGTCAAGAGATATGTACCTTTGCATGTTTATTATTTTTATGTACTAGGATATTAAAATATGGCGGATGAGGAAAAATTCATGTTGAATATAAGCTTTGTTGTCAAAACAGAACTGGGTTTCAATGCTTGCCTCTCTAAACCTCAGTTTCTTTATCTTAAAATGGGATGTACAGTAAAAGGACTAGGGTAGCTTTTCATAGAGGCTAAACCCTGTGTACAGCTCCAGAGCTGGCCTATCTGGTTTTGAATCCTAGCTCTGACATTTCCTAGCTGTGTGGCCTTGAGCACAGTTAACCTTCCTGTGCCTCATTTTACTAATATTCAAATTGGGGATGCTAAAAATGCCCATCCATAAGATTGTGGCTGACAGTAAGTAGCTGTGTTGATACAGCTAAAGCACTTACAGCAGAGAGTCTGGTGCAGAAAAAATGCTCGCTAAGTGTTATGAGACTCGGATGTGGTTACTTTTAGGAACCCTGAAGCACAGACAGTGGTATCCAGTAAATGCTAGGTTCCTTCCTTCTACAGAGTATAGATCACATACTGGAAGCAGGGTTTGACACTGAAGGATGTGTTTTTGCAATCTTAGGGCCAATCTTGAGTTTTGGGTTTTTGGGGTTTTGTTTTTGTTTTATGGTGGTACTGGCGTTTGAACTCAGGACCTTTCACTTTCTAGACAAAGTGAAAAGTTTACTACTTGAGCCATTTCCTGGCTACCATGTCCAAGTTATTGGACTGGGACTTCATAACTTTTTGCCTAGGCTGGCCTTGAACCTTGATTCTCCATCTCCTGAGCAGCTGGGATAACAGATATGTGCCACCACGCCTGGCTTAAGTTTCAGTTTCTTAACTTTTGTTTCCTTACTGTTTTTTCAATGTTTGAAAATCATCTTATTAGTAGAATTATAGTGCACAAATGGAAGCCTTCAGGCTGCATATGAAATACTACCCCTCACCCTAGACTCCATCACACACCATGTGACACCAGCTGCCTCCTTCCTCTCTTCTCCTCTTTCTTCTGTCACAATTAGGCAGAACTCACTAGACACCAAAAAAATCTTTATTTTTTTCTTTATTCCACATGACATACAAAATTAAGTGGGGTCCGGCTGCTACCTTCCTGCACAGTCACAGGATGGGTATGAGCCCCAGCTCTATCATTACTTTTTTGGAGACTGGGAAAAGTGGCAGCAGCACTGCCCACAACTTTATAGCTGGCCTGTGAGTATACGATTTCAGAACCACACCCAGGAGCAGGAGGTTTTCCATTTCTTTTATAACTTTCCTTGGAGCAGAAATTGTGATTGCATAGTAACAATCCTGTATCCTTATCAGGGATGCTGATGTTTTTGGCTTTATTCTGTAATTACAATATGAAAAGAAGAGGACTTTAATGCAAGGGACACTGAGCAGAGGGACAGCAGATATCTCTGTGGAAGATCTGCAGGCAGCATCTGGATGGACAAACAGACCTTATGTGTTGGGGAGGAGGGCTCTTTGGGGATGCCCAATCAGTCTTTTGTGTGTTTCCTGAAAGGCTCTCTGAAAGTCTGCTTCCCAAGGACAAGATGTCCCCTTCACTATCTCCACTCCCAGGAATCTGGAGCCCCATCTTCCCACGTCTCCATAACCAGCCAGGACAGCCATACAAACCAAGCCAGGCAGCACCCAGCATCTCTGCAAGATAGCCATTTGGCTCCCAGAAGACAGCTTCACATCTTATTTTTCAGTCCTTTTTCCTCTACTTGTCTCTGTCTCTGCAACACAAGAGGATGTGGGCTTCATGTCCCCCCAACACCCTCCCCTGCCCCAGTGCTGGGGAGCAAATCCAGGGCCTCACAACTGCTAGGTAAGTGCTGCACTACTGAGCCACACCCCTGGCTCCTTCTTTTTCTTTTAAACTGTTCCAGTGGCACCACCCTGTGCCTTTCTGCACTAACAGTAATAAAACTCCAGGCAGACCATCTTGCCTCCTCAGGAGAGGCAATGTTCCTGTTCCAGCAGGTGCCACCCCTTTCTGTTTTTCCTTGGAGTGACACACTGAGAATAAAGACCTTCCTCACCAAGGAGAAACTGCATGCTCCTGTGGCAGGAACCACAGCTCTGACATTATCAGCACCATGCCATTCACATTGCCATAGTATTCTAGACAGTGTGCAAAGAATTTGAACTTTATTAAAAAATTATTATCTTACAGGAGTCAACTTCTTTTTAGCTGTTTGAAATCCTTCATGCAGAAATCTCAGTTCCAGGCAGGTGCTGGTGGTGCTCCTGTAATCCTAGCTACTTTGGAGGCTAAGATTGGGAGGATCTCAGTTTGAGGCCAGCCACAGCAAACAGCTTGTGAGATCTCATTTCCAAAATAACCAAAGCAAGCCAGGCGTTAGTGGCTCACATCTGTAATCCTAGCTACTCAGGAGGCAGAGATCAGGAGGATTGTGGTTCAAAGCCAGCTTGGGCAAACAGTCTGCAAGACCCTACCTCAAAAAAAAACCCATCACACACACACACACACACACAAAAAAGACAAAATAACCAGAGCAAAGTGGACTGGAGGTGTGACTTAGCAGCAGAGAGCCTGCTTTGCAACCACAAAGCCCTGAGTTCAACTCCCCCACCACCCCCCAAAAAATCTCAGGTTTAGTCCCATTATATGAAATACTTGTTTTTATGTCTTTGACATGACAGCATTCTAGATGTTAGGGACCCTCTGGTCCTAACACATAAAAGAGATCTATTGTAAATATAAGTCTGAATTAAGTTTTCTGATACTTTCTGGAAAAATTAAAATGTAGCCACATATGTCTTTATAGCTTCTAGTCAAGAATAAAGTTAATAGCTGGACACCGGTGGCTCAGGGCTGTCATCCCAGCTACTCAGGTGGCAGGGACCAGGAGGATTGCGGTTCAAAGCCTGCCTGGGCAAATAGTTCGCTAGACCCTATCTCGAAAAAACTCATCACAAAAGGGAGTGGCTCAGGGTGTAAACCCCGAGTTCAAGCCCCAGTACTGCAAAAAATAAATACGTAAATAAAGTTAATGTTCAACACAGTTCTACATGGTTAGCCACTGGCCCTTTCGTTAGCTTATAAATATTTATTGTACATGAACCGCGAGGCAGGCGCTGAGGAAGTTAGGGTACAGAGATAAGAACGTTCTTGCTATTAAAAAACTCATTCCAGCGGTGCCTGCATTCCCAGCTACTCCGGAAGCCGAGGCCGGGAGAATCAGCAGCTACAAGTTCAAGACTAGCCTGGGCAAAGTAACAAGGAGACCTTTTCTCAAAACCAAACGAACAAAACCTATTCACTGCGTTCATGGAACAGGCAATAAAAAAAGTGAAGGAGGCAGGCAATAAAAAAAAAAAAAGATGAACTGTCAGGACGCAGGACGGTGTCAGGGATGGGAGGTTTGGGCTGGGTCTGGGGAGATGAACAGGTGCTAGAAGCATTCCAGTCTGCTCCAGAAAAAGCGGGGGCGGGGACAGATGCCGGAGAGGGGAGGGGTGGAAGGCAGGAGTGAGTGAGAAACAGCATCTGATCTTCTGAAAAGGGAGTTGTCAGGTGTAGGTGGGTCGCGGATGGTGGGGGGGCTGGGGAGCACAGATTGGTTTTTTCCCTAAGGCACAGTTTGAAAGAGAATGCCTTCCTTGATTGTCAGAGCCAAAATGGACATTAAGAGGTCAAGATAAACACACTCCCTTTTGTACACAAGAAGAAAACAAGACTCGGGGTGAAACAGCTTGTCCCAACTCACCCAGCGAGTTGGGGGGTGATCAGCAGTTCTCTGCACTGCCTCTCCAGGCCTGGCCCCGCCCCCGACTGGGGAAGGCCACGCCCCTCCGAGGCCAGCCCGGGTCTCCGACCCCCGCCCACACCGCCCCCTACTGACGCTGCTCGGAATCAGCCCACCCGGCCTCCTCCAGCCGCAGTCCCAGCTAACAGAGGGCGACGTCCCTGGCGCACGCAGTCCTCCTGTCCTCTCCACCTGTTGCCCTCTGCAGCCGAGCGGCACCCTTGCTGGGAGACGGGGCGCCTAAGAGGGTTCGAACTTAGGGGCCTCCGGTGGTTCGCGACCCCCCCAACCTCCCCCACCCCGTCGTGACTCGGGCGCTCAGCATCTCCCGGGTGTTCCCGCCGTGCGCCCGGGTCGCCGCGCAAGCCCGATCCCGACCCCGGCGGGCGGGAAGTTGACAGCCGCCTCCTCCTCCAGGGCCGGACGGCTGGGACCCTAAGGCCGGACTCCCCGCCCTCCGCCCACGTCGCCCCACCCTTCCTCCTCCGCCTCCAGACGGGGTCGCGCGGAGCCGGAGCGCCAGGTGCCGAGCGATGGGAGGCGCCCACTCTCAGAGCTCGAGGGGCCCGGAGCCCGTGGGGGACAGGCCCCCGAGACCCAAGGAGACCGCGTGAGTCCTACCGCTCTCTCCGGCCGCCCTTTGGATTTGCGTGCCAGCCGGGATGGTCCCAGAAGGGCTGGGAATGTGGGGTCTCGGGTGCGGGGGCTGCCTTGCTGGGGACATCCCGTCCGAGCCGTGGTGGCGCCCGGCCCGGGCCGCATCGCGCGCAGAAGGGACAGCTGTCCTGCTCCCGCTCTTGCTGCACCGACTAAAGGAGGGGACCCCGAGTTTGTCTGGACTGTTTGGAGCAGGAAAGCGCACGTGTCCTAAAAGGGCTCAGAAACAGTGGCAGGACAGCTGTTTGCCGGGAGGTGTGGCTACTTGGCTCGCGTTTGCCTTGGGGTGCAGGAATTGCAATGCGGTGCTAGCTTGCTGTTCCCAGAACTCCCTCTCTTGTTTGCTCCGAGAGCTTCACGATGACCTCAGAAAAAAGGGCTGCATTGTAGCAGCAGCAATCAGGCTTTTGTTCTGGGACGGCCACATTTGGGGACACCAAGTACTGTAGTGCGAGCCTGTGGGGAAATTGTTAGGGAACGTGATCAAGAGCAAGTCCCACGGTTTGAAAGATGGTCATGCGTCTTAACCAAGGAGCGGGGGTGTTGATAACGAGTTCGGTGTTTCCATGTTTGATTTAAAAGTGTTTAGAGTGCGTGTGTATCTTGGAGGTGACGCGTGGCCAAGGAACCTGTACTCTTTATTTTAATTCAGCAAATGTCAAAGCTGTTTAATTTGAGATAGACAGCAGGGGCCAGATGACGTTTTGATCATCTTTTCAATGCACAATAGCTTCTTAGGTATCCAAATACTGAATGTGTCATTTGTACCTCCTAATATTTTCCTACAACAACAAATACAAACTTAGTTCAGGAAGCTTATTAATGAGAAGTAAAATGTGCAAAAGATGCTTCTGAACACTCTTTGTGTTATTTAATTCCCAAGAACATGAGTTAGTTCCTATTATTTTCATCATCTTGAAGCTGAAGCGTAAAGAGATAAAGTAACTTGTCCAATGTCACACAGCTAGAAAGTAGTGGACCCCAAAGCTCATGCTTGCAGCTGACTCCCACCTGAGTTTTAGGACTATACTAGGAAGCAATCAAATTTTGTCTCAAGTTACAGAGCACACCCCTCTTTTCCCTTTAGTTTTTCCTGAATAAGGGAAAAATCTGAATTAGCAGTTCTTAAAGTAAAAGATTAAATTGCCAAAATTGATTTAACTTTTAAAAAACAAACATAAGGGGCAATTCAACATTGAGATGAAGTTAAGAGTTTTGGAAGAAGGTAGTTGTGGCTTTAATGCCAGGCTCTGCTTTTTAACATCTGGGGTCTTAACTTCTCTTTGACTCAGTTTCCTCATTTGTAAAATGCAAAGAATACCTACTTCATAGGCTGTTCTAAGGTTGACATAAGATCATGTACAGATGGAGCACAAGTGACAGTTTTATCTCTGACCCATACAGTATATATATATATATTTTTTTGGTTTGGGTTTGAACTCAGGGCTTCATGTTTGCAAAGCAGGCATTCTACTTGAGCCACACCTCCAGTCCATTTTGCTCTGGTTATTTATTTATTTATTTTTTGTGGTACTGGGATTTGAACTCAGGGCCTACACCTTGAGTCACTCCACCAGCCCTTTTTTGTGATGGGCTTTTTCAAGATAGGGTCTTGAGAACTATTTGCCAGGGCTGGCTTAGAACAGCGTTCCTGCTCATCTCTGCCTCCTGAGTAGCTAGGATTACAGGCATGAGCTATTGACGCCAGGCTACTCTGGTTATTTTGAAGATGTGGTCTTTCAAACTATTTGCCCTGGGCTGGTCTTGAACCTTGATCCTCCTGATCTCAGTCTTCCAAGCAGCTAGTATTGCAGGTGTGAGCCACCAGCACTCAGCTCAATATATTCTTTTAGCCAAGGGATGAAAGTTGACTATTCTTCGTGAACATGTGGTGGGTTTACTGTATAACTGGAGAGTAAACTGGTGGTATGGGAAGAAGTGAAGTCAATTGTTACGTTACCCAGTGACTTGGCAACAGGTCGAGGAGCTCCCTCTCCAGGAGGTTCTGCATGCATTTTATTTATTTGGCAAAACTTGCCTAAAAATGACCAACATAAATGTCCATCCTTGCTTTAGCCTAGGAATACAGCCTTTCCGTACTCAAATAAATATAATAAATGAGTATATTAAAGGCCTGGCAGTGTAGCTCAGTGGTAAAGTGCTTGCTAGGATGTGCAAGACCCTGAATTCCATCCCCAGAACCAAAAAAAAAAAAAAAAAAAAAAAAGACTTGCACCCAAATGCAGTCAGTGCTGGGATTATTGGTCCCAGCAGGAAGGCTCTGTCTGGCATGCCCAGGTAAAGGACCCTTTCGAATGATGAGATTCCACCCCTGTAAAAGCAAAAACTATGCTTTTTATCCAAGTCTTGCCTTGGCCAGAATGCACAAGTCTGCCTGGGGTCCGAGAGAATAGAGGATTTGTTGTTAGCAGCACTGGATGCAGGTTTCCTGCCAGACATGTGGCTGTCATGGATAACACTGGCCTTAAGGAAGTTCCCCTTCTTACATGGGGCGTTTTCAAAATCTATTGTTCCTTTGAGAACAATAATAATAAATACATGAAAATTACAAGAATAAGGCATTCCTGTAGGCATTTGTCTTTTGAGGGGGAAATTATGTTTCAGAATGTTCATGATTTCTATTTCAGAATAATTTAATCAGGTACTAAAAGGAACCAGATAAATTTCTCTTTCAAGAACTCTATTGTGAAATAGAAACAAGCATTGATGTACATGAAAAGAAATGTCTGATTTTAAGATAAAATTCCTAATTATGAAAAGTGTAGCTGCCACCCTTCTCCAGACCCAAGGACACAAACGGCTCGCTTTGGTGAAGGCTGAAGACTTTCATTCAAGGAAGCTGTGCAATAGCACTAGCTATGGTGAGAAAGGGCAGAAGCTGTGGAGTTAGGCAGACCTCGGTCACAACTCCTGCTACATCACTTACCAACTGAGTTTAGGATGCATTGGAAATACAGTTAAATTCTTCAGTGGGCAAATTTCTGCATATTTAAAATGGCAGTAATAATAAATAAATAAATAAATAAATAAAATGGCAGTAATAGTTGTACCTGCTTTGGCAAGTGGTGTAGATTATTTTAGCACAGTGCATGCAGTTCATAAGAGCATAAGACATGAGTTATTTTTAATACATTTCCGTGGACATGTCCCTGGGACCCACATGCTATGCTGGGCTCTTTGGAAAGTATGTCCATCAGTAAGGTGGAGTCTCTACTTTGTGTGTGTTGGGGGGGGGTGGCTGGGGTTTGAACTCAGGCTTTGTGCTTGCAAAGCAGGCGCTCTACCACTTGATCCACACCGCCAGTCCATTTTGCTCTGGTTATTTTGGAGTTGGGGGTCTCGAAAACTGTTTGCCCTGGCTGGCCTCAAACCACAATCCTCCTGATTTCAGCCTCCCAAGTAGCTAGGATTACAGGCATGAGCCACAAGCATTCACATGGGGTCTCTTCTGAAGGGAAGACTGCTTTGTGAGCCAATTCAGCCAGGCTTCTTAGGGAAGCAAGACAGTAACTTCTTTCAGTTAATTTTTCTACAGTTAATTTCCATTTTTTCATATAGTTATTCTACAGAAAGAATGGAAATGTGGGGATATGGTGGTTTGATGCAAGGTTTGAAATCAGATTCCTTAGTGGACTATTTTTGGCAGCATGGCCCAGGTACATTCTCTTAGGGTAGTAAATAATTTGTGGAGAGATTCAAAGAGGGACAAATGCAGAGCCTATGTTTCCTGAGGGAATATGGGACGTAACTAATTCATCTTCCTCTTTAGCTTTTCTGCCTGGAATGCAAGCTGTGCACCTGTTGTCAATTCTTACAAGTTAAGTTTCTAGACCAATCTTTGTTTGCATTTAGAATCTAACAGAGAATGGAATAGGTGAGTAGAAGTCAGGGTGGCTTGTAAAGTTTTTGTTTGTTTGTTTGGCACTGGGGGTTGAACTCAGGGCCTTACCCTTGCTAAGCAGGTGTTCTTACTGCTTGAGCCACTCCACCAACCCTGTTTTGTGTTGGGTGTTTTCGACATAGAGTCTCATTAACTATTTGCCTATGGCTGGTTACGAACCGTGGTCCTCTGGAACTCTGCCTCCCTGAGTAGTGAGGGTTACAGGCACCCGGCTGCTTGTAAAGTGTTTTGCTTTTGTGGAGTGTCTTTCTAATCATATCAAGGAGATGCGGGCAATTTGATGTTCTAGTGAACTGCAAAGTCCCCAACAGCTAAGCTAAAGTTCCTCTTGATGGCAAGTCACTGTGGAATGAATGTCCCTGACACAAAGAGGGAGCTGCTGGCTTTGAAATTTTAGACACAAAAAACATGGCTCAAAATAAGTAAACTTAGGGGAAGGCGTTTCTGAAACCCATTGTTTTCAAATTTATAATATTGTTTGCCACCTTCTCACTCCACACACACACACACACACACAGTCTTTATTGGCATTAAAACATGTCAGATCTCATTTACTATAGCCGTTTTAAAAAAGCCTATGTGAACTGTTTTAGTGTGTAATTAAAGAAAAATTTAGAGAAAGTTGGTGGAAAAGACCCAGAAAAACCAGATGTATGAAAGAAGAAAGTTAAGAGAATGATAGTGTTCCACTTGGAGAAGTGGCTCAAGAAATGGAGAAATATGGTATTTT